ATATATATATATATATTGGTGGTGGGTTGTTATAGAGTCTTATTGAGCGGTAAAAAAATATTGCGTTATATTTTCAAATTTGGGTTGGGAGCTGGGTCTATTCTACGCATTCTATGATGACTTTCACTTTAATATTTTAACGTGGATGTATACCCGACCGAATTGCACTGCAGGTGGCGAGAACGAGTCTTCGAACCTGTGTGTATTCCTACTGTGAAATTACCACATCAAACGTGACATGCTAACATGGATGCAGTTCACTAGAGTGAATCTTATTCATGTTAGCTCCACAGCTAACTATCAGGCACCTGTAGAGTTTATGTGATCGAGTAAAACATACACAAATAAAATATAATAAAATGCAATAAACATTCATTCATTCATTAATTTTCTTGTCGGCTTAGTCCCTTTATTAATCTGGGGTCACCACAGCGGAATGAACCGCCAATTTATCCAGCTAGTTTTTGCGCAGCGGATGCCCTTTTAGCCGCAATCCATCTCTGGGAAACATCTACAAACACTCATTCACACACACACACACTCATACACTACAGACAATTTGGCCTACCCAATTCACCTGTACCGCATGTCTTTGGACTGTGGGGGAAACCGGAGTACATGGAGAACATGCAACCTCCACACAGAAGCACCAACTGAACCGAGAATCAAACCAGCGACCCAGCGACCTTCTTGCTGTGAGGCGAACGTGCTACCCACTGCGCCACTGCGTCGCCTATATAATAAATAAGCAAAATAAAAATAAATAAACAAGTGAATAACGGTGAGAATGTGGTAAAATTTTGAAAGTGTGGTACAAATCAGGCGAGGACTTTTCTTCTTCTGGATTGCTTTTGAAAACACTATTGGTTGGGTTTAGGGAAGGAGGAGGGTGGGTCAGTCGGTTAGTCAACAGCAGCCTCTGGTGGATTTACATGAGAATAGCAGTCACAAAAGACACAAGAGATATTTGAGATCTCAAAAAGCGTACACAGCGACCTCTGGTGGATTCGCGACAACAAAAACTGCAAAACACGTAACGCCTGGGACGTATTTCATGATCTCCAGGTCATGTTTATTGCGGTATGTTGTCAGAATGAGCCTGGTTTGTTTAAATATCTGTGGTATTTAACTGTGAGTTTGAAAACATGATCATCATAGAAGACACGTTTCGCTCATTTTTTGTACAATTTGCAATAAGCGGCTTAAACAACATTCTGTTTAGCCTAACACTTCCCTCTGTTTGCAGAGATGTAGTCAGTAGCCATGTTTGAGACTCACAGAAATATTATTCCTAGACTTAGATGTTGATGTGTCCTGCTATGCCCCAAAAGCGTTACTGTTTGTGTACAGTGAGAATACGTCTAAGAGATAATGAGCGGTTTACACTGTCTGCATCAGCAGGTGTGTGTGTGTGTTGTGGTCGTCGTGTTTGTGTGTGCATGTGCGAGTTATTGAGCGGGTCTCGCTGTCGGAGTGTGTGGAGAGAGGTCATGAATTGAAGAAAAGAGGAAAAGGAGATTGCTGAACCCTGACTTCCGTTTCGTGTCACCACTGAGAGCTCGGGCCAGCAGCCTCTCTCTCTCTCTCTCTCTCTCTCTCTCTCTCTCTCTCTCTCTCTCTCCCTCTCTTATTGGCATGACAAGGGTTTCAAATGTATTGCCAAAGCATTTATAAGGCTTAAATAAAAAAATATATACAGTAGACACCTTCTCACTCAAAGAGTTTTCTTCATTTTCATGACTATGACAATTGTAGATTCATATTGAAGGCATCAAAACTATGAATGAACACATGTGGAGTTATATGGATAGCAAAAAAAAGTGTGAAACAACTGAAAATATGTCATATTCTAGGTCAGGGTTGGGCAAACTCGGTCCTGGAGGGCCGGTGTCCTGCACAGTTTAGCTCCAACTCTAATCAAACACACCTGCTTATAGATTTCTAGTGATCTCCCTGCTGAAAAATCTAGCTTAAACCAGCCTAGGCTGGTTTAAGCTGGATTTTTCAGCAGGGCCTGAAGACACTGATTAGTTTGTTCAGGTGTGTTTGACTAGTGTTGGAACAAAACTCTGCAGAGACACCGGCCCTCGAGGATCAAGTTTGCCCATCCCTGTTCTAGGTTCTTCAAAGTAGCCACCTTTTGCTTTGATTACTGCTTTGCACACTCTTGGCGTTCTCTTGATGAGCTTCAAGACTTTGGGCCCTATCATACATCCGGCGCAATGTGGCGCAAGGCGCGGCGCAACAGTCTTTTGCTACTTTTAGCTCGGAGCAACGATCATTTTGAGGTGTTACGCCACACTGTTTAAATAGCAAATGCATTTGCGCACAAATGTGCGCCCATAGGTGTTCTGGTCTAAAAAAGCAGGCGTGTTTTGGCACATTGCTATTTTGAGAAACTGTAAATAGTCTGATCTTTAGACCAGAACAAAGTCAGTCTATTGTCTGGCGCAAAGTGCGCCTGGCTTACACACTACACACAAGATGTAGAGCAATACGCAAATATCTTTACATATGAAAAAGATATAATATATTAAGCATATATATATAATAAGGATATATATAGGATATAAATATAAATGATTAAAATATTACAAAACATATTAATTTCTAGCCTATATGAATTTAAAAACCACTGCCGTCATGCTTTCTTCATCTCGGGAGGCTTTTTCAGTTCATTCAATTTGCTTTTGTATAATGTTATTATTATTAGCAGTATTATTTATTATATACATATTTATATTTGTTTTATTAAAAACAAGCTTAGATTTGTCCACCTGTCAGGTTTTAGACCATAAGGGGCACAGCATGTGTATTAAGATATAACTCAGTATTTTGAGCACATTTTGTTATTATTGTTCATTTATTCGTTTGCTGGAAATTAGAACTGAATTTAGAAATAGTTTTGAAACAAATCTTTGCGCTTAACAAACGAAATTAATTATTTATAGGCTAACTGATGTCTGTGCGGGAAGGTTTTCCTATCCACAAGAGCAAAAGCGAAAGTGAACTTACTTTACGTTACTTACTTATGATGCGACGCAGCTGGCTCTTAAAGGGAATGGGAGATGAGACTCTGATTGGTTTATTCTCAAAACACACCTATTACTCATTAAGAAAATAAACTCAACCCTTTTAGACCATGCGCCACGGCGCAAAGCGTATTTTCCCATCCTTAAATTAGCAAAAATGCGTTCTGACACGCCCTGAAAGCGTTTGCGCCCTGCGTTTTGCGCTCTGCGCATGGACCGTCAAATAGAGCCCTTTGGCTGCATCCGAAACCGCCTACTACTCAGTAGGTACTACATTTGAATTTAAACGTACTGCTCGGCCGTTAGAAAAGTACGTTCTATACAGTATGAAAGTGAAAAGTATGAATGAAATTCGGACGTACTACATCCGCCATTTTGTTTTGCTCACGTGACCTACCCGCGTCAGATGCGTCGCTTCACTCCCATTCATGAATTCTCTCGCGGGGCATTACGGGATAGCACAGCGTGCATGGGATGCGCACTTCAGAATCTCGCCGGAAGTAGTAAGTCATCCGGGTACTTCTCGCATACTGATT